CCGCTTGGGATCATAAAGTCATCCTATCGTTTAGGGTATGTTACAGATAATGGCTGCTATCATTTGAGATTTTCACTAACCTGACACGATGGCGATGTAAAGTGTGGGCAGAAACTACGGTGGCCATAACTTGGCCGGAAAAAACGTGGAAGGCCCAATTTACAAGCAGTGGTTTTGTTTGAACAATGGTAAGTTCCATGGCGGCCTCAATTGGTAGGGAGACCCCAGCTTCTGTAGATAAACATCTCATCTAAGGCTAACAAAAAGCACAAGATTCCTATAATTCAGGTGATTAATACACTAATGAAACATATGAATATTACTATCCCATTTCTTACGCATAGATCCTTCTGAATTGTTACAACTGAGCCTTTAATGTTTATTATATTAAGAATATTAACAAATTATTGCCAGAATATGGGAATGAATTTAATCTTATATGCTGATAAATTTGCAGGATGCTCTATCATTCGTTTCTGTGTATTTATGCATCTTAATTGAACGTCAAACATTTTAAATCAAGGGATCATTGTCGGTTAATGAAGTCCTTTTTTAATTTTCTAAATCTTTTAAGCATGCTGACTTTACACAGAAATATAAACTCGCTTTCAGGGAACAAAACCTCCATCCGCCTCCAGCTACAAGGTTAACAACAATTCCAGCACAGATCACTCAGAATTCCTTTTTTAAGAGGCGTTTCTATTCATGTGTTCTCCAGAAGTCATACAGCACAAGGCATGTGGCCTTTAAGGTTCACTGTGAGTTTACTTGGAAGCTTTGCTTTTGTGTTTTTCTTCATTTCTCATTGTTGCTTCACAAAAGTCTTTATTTCCAATAGATTTCCACATTTTTTTTAGGAGCGAGCGGTGTGTTTATTATTATCCTGTGGTGTTTGTGTTATTTACTTCTGGTTCATTATTAAATATTATATTAACTTGGACTTCTCAGATTTCCTGTAATCTCCTTTCGCTTTACAAGGGGTCCAGTGAGTCCCTAGAGCCAAATCTATTGGTTAGAAAATTTATATAAACTTTCATATGTGTTGTGTTTAATTAGTGTAGAACAATCACCTGAAAATAAGAATTTATTGTAAAGATTTTTGTTACACTAAAAACAAAAAAAAAATAAAATTGAGACAAATAGAGTTGTTAAATTTCATTTAACAGAAAAGGGCAAAAAAAAGATAAAAAAAGAGTTTCTTCTATTGGTCGGCTTCTGGTTGATTGACATTGTCGTAGATGAAATATAAACCTCGGTTGGTCCCGTCTTTTTTGTACTCTAGAGGCCCGAACGTGTATACAATCTCATCACTTGTGGTTGTGTTGTTGTGTGATTGTGTGATGTAGTGTAGCTGTGATTGTGCGGTCTATTATCTTGTTATGGTGGGTGTACATATTGGTGGTTTCTGTGTGTTGTTTTTGATGTGGATTTCTTCTGGTATTATGTTGTGGTTCTTGGTGGTTTCGTGGAATCCGTGGTTTTGGGTCTTGTTGCTCACACTTTTTCTTCGAGTGTGTTTTTACTTCGGTCAGTTGTATGGTGTTATGATACGATGCACTAACCGGTGTTTGTTGCAATTCTGCAACGTGCAAGTGTTGGTTTGTTGTTTTTGCGCAGTTGGATATTGTGTTAGATGTTGGTAGTGCGGGTGTGATTGTGTGTGGTTGTGTGATGGTGAGATGCTTGTGTGGTGTTGTGTTATTTGTGTGTGTGTTGATAGGTACTTGATGGCTTTC